GAGAGAGAGAGAGAGAGAGAGAGAGAGAGAGAGAGAGAGAGAGAGAGAGAGAGAGAGAGAGGGTGGGTAAGAGGGGAGGACATGAAAGTAGTTGCGTTGTCCCTTGGACATCTATGTGTGTGTGTGTGTGTGTGTGTGTGTGTGTGTGTGTGTGAGAGAGAGAGAGAGAGAGAGAGAGAGATGGGACATTGATGTTCGTCCATTCGTTGTTGATCAACGTAAGTACAGAGAAGATGTTGCTTCATGCCTTCCTTGCCACGTCTGCTCTGGTATCCCACCTACACTTCGCAATTAGCGAACTCCCCGTTCAACTGCATCTCAGAGACACAGTCAGAGATCTTCCAAGGACTGGCTAAATCCAGTGATCTCACTATGGCGAATAATCCATGATTACAAAGTAGTTTGTTCCCCTCCTCCAGCTCCAGGTTCGTCCTCTCCTCTTGCCTTCTGTCTTTCACCAATAGTCGCTCTGACCGAGAGCAGACCGGGTCTACAAGGACTGGCTAAATCCAGTGATCTCCTTTCACGACAGGCTAATAATAATCAATCAGTGATTACCAATTAGTTTGTTCTCCCTCCCTGAGTCTGGGTTCTTGCTCTCCTCTTGCCTTCCGTCTCTCACCAAAAGTCACTCTCACCAACACCGGACCCGATAGACTGGGAAGAGCAACTGCCAAAGGTAATCACTGTGTATATTAACTGGATACATCTGTGTACTAATAGGTTCAATGAATTGGACAAGGGATGGAAACCTTGCAAGCCCATAGATTGTCTGAATCCGGAACAGATCTGAGGTTATCACCGGACACCCGTGAGGTTAGACATGCCCAGTTCACCCGTGAGTTTGCATTGAAGTATGGGAAAGACCTGCAAGAGGTGATTGAACAAATTACACATGCCCAGTTCAAAATGGTAGAGCAAGCCAATAAGTATCACACAGGCGTCTGGGGTTTACCAGTCGGCGATCTCGTGTCAGTCGAAGTCTAACGAGTTTGTACCTGAAGAGGGGATTTCTCAGAAACTGCTACTGGCATACAAAGGACGGTGGGAGGTTGTAGATGTCGAGGGAGATGCCGACAGCCCGTCATATACAGTAGATGTACCTCCTCTCCTTTGCACTTATCCGGTTTTCCGAGCTTCGGGAAAGTGTTTTCCTTTGCGCAGAGCAATGATGCTGCCTGACCTGGATGGCATTTATGACATTGATTGCGGTCATAGATCTAGCCAACATAACAGGGCG